GCTCAAAACGTGTTACAAAGTTACAGCCAAAATATTAGTTCAAACCTGTTACGGCGTGAGTGAGAAGGAAGAGATGACGGCGACGGCGCGAGCAAGGAGGAAGAGATGACGCCGACGGCGCGAGCACGGAGGGGAGGGAGGAAAGGCGACGGCGACGGCAGGAGTGAGAAGGTGAAGTTTCGTCATGGGAGGTTTTGGTTCGTCGTGGGAGAGAGGAAGAAGATATGAAATGAATACTGTGCAGGTTTCTATTAAAAATATTTTAAACTTTTTAAATCGGTGGATTGCCCAACCGATTTAAAAGGCATGGGCCAAGTTTTTTGTTTTTTTCTATTGGGGACTTTTTAAATCAGTTGGTTATTATAACCCGATTTAAGAAACCTTTAAATTATTTTTTTTAAAATTTTTTTAATATGGCTTTTTAAATCGGTTGCATTTATAACCGATTTAAAATCCAAGTTTTTTATTTTTTCTATTGAGGACTTTTTAAATCGATTGGTTACTATAACCCGATTTTAAAAACCTTTAAATTATTTTTTTTAGTTTTTTTAATATAGCTTTTTAAATCGGTTGCATTTATAACCGATTTAAAATCCAAATTTTTTGTTTTTTTCTATTGGAGACTTTTTAAATCGGTTGGTTACTGAAACCCGATTTAAAAAACCTTTAAATTATTTTTTTTAGTTTTTTTAATATAACTTTTTAAATCAGTTGCAATTATAACCGATTTAAAAAACCTTTAACTAATTTTTTTCAAATTTTTTTAGTATTGTTTTTTTAAATCGGTTACAATTATAAACGATTTTAAAAACTTTTAAATAATTTTTTTCAATTTTTTACATCGGGTGTTTGAATGGCCCAATGTAAAAGATCTAATAAATTTTTTTTAATATTTACGATATTGCCACCGTGTTTATAATTTCACATTTTACATCGCTTCTAGTGAATATTCGATGTAAAAACATTTTCTCAAAAGTCTTTCCATAGTAGCAGCAGTATACAGTGCATGTCAGGGAAATTGGCTCGGGAAAATTCTACAGCAATTTGGTCAGACACAAAGGAGTCGCACAATGATACTCTATGACAACAACTCAACCATTAATCAGGGACAATTCAAGGATAAGGGCAACCCAAAAAAGGGCTTTGGGCATCAAAATTTTGGGCCAAAAAATATTTCAAAAAAGTTCAGTGTAGCTATAAATATATAAAATAACATATATTTTACATATGTTTTCATAGTAGAATGGGTAAAAGAAAGAGGTCATATCATTTTGATCTTTGGCTCACCTCTAAAGAGGTTGGGTCGGTTCTGCCATTAAGCTCTCAAAGAATCCAATAATGTATGGAAGATAAAAACATATTGATATCGATTCTAACTCCTAAGAAACTTCGCAAAAAATGATGCGATAGAACTGTCTCATTGCAACTCTGAAGAACTTGCTGGTGTGATGACCAAGCCTTTGTAATTGGACTCATTTTGTAAATTGTGAAGAGTGTGTGATCTAGTTGAGATTCAGTAGTCTTTGATTACTATTGAGTTTATTGTTCGTATGTTTAGTCTAAACATCCGCTAACAGTTCCAAATTAGGGGAGTGTTTGTTACGCTTAACCAATGTAACTAGGCCAAGATTAGTTACTTGCATTGCAAGTAATGCTTTGTTTGTGTAATAAGCTTATATAAGGGCATTATGTATCAATGATAAACTAAGGATAACCATTTTCTCCTAACAAGCTAATGGCAGTACTCATACTTTGAGAAAGACATTTATTTCATATTATGAAGTGATTTTCATTCTACTCTTGATTGTATTATAAATTTGTCGTGCAGTAGTACTAGTTAACTTTGAGTATAAAAAAGAAATATTATTGTGTATATATAAATAACACCACTAAATAAAATGGAAAAAAAAATGGTGCGACAATTAGAGAGACAGATATCAGATATACTTTGAAAGCTGTGTCCAAATTGACACTTTAGTTTCGTCCAGTCATCATTAAGGTAATAGAAAAGAGAAAGAAAAAAGACACAAATGATTACAATGATAAAAATGAGCTTTACCATGTTTTGAGTATAGCATATGTGTCTCGTACATGGAGCCTGCCCAGGATTCAGTAGGCACATTAACAACAACATAGTCAACCAATGCTTTTATCATTAAAGAGAAAAGCAAAAGAAAAGTGTATATACATTCTTTAAACTCATTACAATCTGTATTTGTCCACTGATAGCCATCAACATTTGAAACCCTATTTTAGCTATAAAATATTCAAATTTAGTACTATATGGCATAAATAAACTGCTTTCAGTTTCATGAGGAAATGCTTTCTCATAAACTTAACTAGAATACATATAATCACCAAAAAGAATAATATATATGTAGAAAATAGATATACCTCTTTTAGATGATTGTAATCATGTATGAATATTGGTGTTGAACAATATATGAATGAAGATTGTAACCAAAACAGAAAGAAAGTAAAAGAAGAAACTGCAATAAGTAAATCTAGAAATGTTATTGAATACAGCAATGGATAGGTTTACACTCATTCATCTATTACAAGTACACTCATCTGCAAATTTATAGTTGTGCCTGATGTAGAAAAAGGTACAACTTACAAGTACAAGAAATAAATATGAATGAACATGAAACCATGCATATATATCAGTGTAACATTATGCATGGTTGCACACACTCTTTCAAAAGACAAAATCAAGAAAATGAAAATTGAAACCGAATAAACTGATTTAGAAGAAATGATAAAATGATAAACTTCGGACCAGGAATGCTTAATTCCCCATGGATGGTTTCATGACTTCCATTTCATGATTGTGTTGCACTGCCTCAAGCTAGATCAATATGGAAAATTTGGCTTCCATATCCAACTAGGCAAGTACTGTCTTGCATGATGCTGATGATGATGAGAAAGATGAGATGAATCCTCGAAAGTGAAGGTGGGAAGATCCATGTTGAGAGTGAGAGTATATAGAACAAGACAGTCTTCAACTTTAACATAATCATGACTTGTTAATTGTTTAACAATTTAAAGTACTTGTAAGAGAGAGAAGAGAGAACGAGCTAGCCATATAGATAGACGGATTTATTTATATATATATATATATATATATATATATATATATATATATATATATATATGTGTGTGTGTGTGTGTGTGAAAACAGAAAAGGCAGGGTTGTGATGCACGCATACTGTGTGTGGAGAGAAGCAGGCTAATCTCATATTCCCGCATGCAAATATTTTCTCTTTAATGAACAGTGTGGGCACGTTTCCACAAAGAAAAAGGCAAACGATGAAAGTGATGTATATAGAGATAGTGAAACTGTGAAAGGGTTTTTTTTTTTTGTGTTCAAGATCCAAGTAATTAAGTAAACAAATTTTACAAACGTAAAATTTTAACTATTTTTGGTTTTATGGTTTACTGTGCATAGATATTTGAATATAGTGTGGGATTCTAACATTTTTTGAAAGTAAAAACTAACCATCCTCTTCATTCTCACGATTAAAATGGTGAATTGATCGGTGTTAATTCGACACCGATCAGATCATTGTCTAAATCACAAAAATGAAGAGATTTGTACTCATCATAATAGTTAGAGTTTTGATTAATTTTGAAATAGCAGTCTATATTAGGCCAACTGTCCACATTAGAATTCACTAAGTGTTATTTTTGTTGGTAAGTTGTGTTAAAGGCTGCTCCCTGATATTGGAATAGGCTTTTGTCTTTTTATTGGTTTTTCTTTTCCTTTATCTTTTGGTCGGTTTATGTGAAAAAAGTATTATAATTTTTTGGAACACTTTGTTTGTAAGTGCTTGGTGCAGTAGCATGCATGTGGGGTTTGTCTGAAGCTTAATAAAGAAAATATATAAATTTTTACTCACAGTGATCTGAATCTGATCTGATCTTCACCTATATGGAATTGGTGGTGAATACTTTGTGTGGGAGAATGATGTCTCCCCACATGTCAGTGATACCTCTCCCAAGGGTATTAACATAAAACAAAGGATGGTAAAAGAGAGCTTTAGCACATGGAGTAAGTCAGTTATCAATGACAGTAACATATTTTAAGGATAGTGTTGTGTATTATATAATTGTATTAAGATTATTTAATGACCTGAGACAAATCAGACAACTGTATAAGCTTAATTTTGTGATCGGCATATTAGTTTATCTTGTTGGATACTGAATTAAAGAATGTTCTTTTTGAATTAAGAATGACAAAGAATATTAATGTAACAAATGAAAAAGTGAAAGCATGTATGTAGTGGTATCTTGATTAATATATGTGTCTTCTTCATGTGCCGTAATGAATGAATACTTTGGACTCTGATTATTAGAATCCACTCACTGACTTCATCAATTACTATTTATGCTGAAGAATTTAACAAGCTGATTTAGTAGAGAATCTTTCAACTATATAATTGTCAGATATTGTATGATAATTGAATTCAGCTTACATTTATTTTAGCAAATATAGGATTATGTGAACTTCATCACTTCCCCTCTAGTCGTACCCAGCCACTACTTGTCCAGGTCCCGGGTGTCGTTTTCATGGGAACGGCCAGTCATATCAAAACTTGGCGTGAAAGACAATTTGATCTTGAAGCTTCAAATTCAAATTGAAATCCAATAGCAGCTAGGACCAGCCAGACAATATGTGATTCCCTTTTCCCTTTTTGGTTAGCAAGAGAAGCCAAGTCACACAACTTTTTCAAAGTGCATTTTAACCTCAGTTGAATTTTTTTACAAATCATAAAGCATGTAAGTCCTGTTAACAACCATCAATTATGCTATCAAAATAAGTCTCAAGTTTCCAGGACATTGATCCCAGGATTGAGCCTAAAACTTGTTTAGGATGCTAACTCCTGATAACTGTGTATAATAAATAAAGATCACTGTTACATAAAAATATATCGCACTAGAATGCACCGGAAGTGTTACACTTTTGATTGAAAAAAATTTAATTGGAAGTTTCAGTTACATTAATCGGGAAGCTCAGAACGCTCCCTCTTTGCTGTATCTACCATTGAACTTAAGAACTTGATAGGGTTGCAATCAAAAGGATTTGCAAGTGCAGCATGTGCCAAAAATGGAAGCTTTCTGAGAGACCTTCCACTCATTCCCTGTAGACAGACCAAACACAACAGTTTAGATATAGAGGTAGAACTAAAGACAGTGAGGTTAAAGATTTGGAAGTATTATCTTTTTTTGTCCTACCTCGCATGCCTCTGCAGTTTCAACTAGTTGCTTGCAAAGTTGCATGGATGTAGTAGCCTCGTGAAAATTGGGTGCATTCATCCTTTGTTTTGCACTAGCATAATTTGGAAGTACAATATTCTTACAGTCCTAACCAAGTCAGCATGATTATCCCATAAGATTAACAAACTAAAATATCTGAATTCAAATAAAGATTAAAATATTCCATAATGGCTTTCGTTATCAGAAAATATTCCAGGTCAAGATTAAGATCTATTTGCACCTCAAAACTAGTCAATATCCCTGTACGCATGAGTTCCTGCAAGCAAGACCTTAATATTTCATATCGAGCTTGAAGAGTTGGTGGACCAACATATGCTTTGATATCAGCTCGGTCAACAAAAGCAATATCTGCAAAGAAATTAAGAAATTTGCATGATCTGCTACATTTGTAATCATGTGTTTTAAATGAAAAAATTTGGAAGTGGATACTAAAGAAGTTATGTTAGAGAGACATTGGAGTGTTCCAAACTAGTGGATTCCTTTTTCCTTACGATGTGCTTAATGTTTAGGTGTTAATTTTGGATCCAGGCATATTATTGGAGAGGAAAGGACTTCGTTTACACCGACATAAGCTACAAAATTGAATGAATGAGAAATTGATTTAGGCTTACCGATAGCAGCGGTAATGTTGGATGTGGTTAGAATGATCACGTTTGGAGATGATTTAAGCTTATCCATCTGAGTTAATAATGCATTGACAACCTGAAATTGAATATTCAGATTGAACCCGCATTAAAACATAAAGACACACGTACAGAAGCCATTACTTCTGAATTACATTTCTACAAGTTTGTGATACAGCCGGTAGAATTTTCCAGAAAATAGTGGGGAGGAAGAGAGTTTATTCCTGCAGATGCACGGGAAGGAGGGTATTACCCGAATAGAATCTGAAGGTTCAGAACCAGACAAAGCAGCTTTTCTAGCAGCAGCGAGGCTTTCGACTTCATCTGCAGGATCAGAAATATATATACTCAAGCAGACATATAAGAATAACACATGGGTAATATGTTTTTTCTTCAATTATGCCTCACCAATCAAAACAAATACCAGATTGCTTTCTTCCTCTACCATTTCTTGAATCTTTTGGAAAAGTTTTGCGACCTAGAAAACAAAGAACATGTTACGCATTCAACATAACAAAACTACAGTAATGGTTCAAGTATACTATGCAATTTCACCATTTGATTTGCTAATCTCTATGATTCAAAACTCCTTAAATTCCAAAATGGGTACAGTTAAATGAAACTCATAAGGGACTCTTGGATTATAGTCAAGTGAAAGATAACTTAGTTTACGACAACTAACGACTCCAACGGGTCTCATACAATGTAATTTACTTGTTAATCATACATTTATTTTCATATATATAATGAATGGAGAATATTATCTATGGAAAAATGATTAAATGAGTACATCAAAATGTCTGCAGTATCAGTTTTAATTATCTTGGTATAGATAGGCATTTGATGTACGTTTCTTTCAAAAAAATTTGTTGAATATGTGTGATTACACATAGGTTAAGTATCTCAATGAATCGATACTAATACAAACTGCTGACTGCTAATTCACCTGTGCCTTAACATGTTTCATTTTTCTTGATATACTTTATGGCATTTAGATTTTTTTTTTAAAACTGAATATCGTGTATCTATAATATTGTATAGCCACTTATTTGTTTATTGAGAAACCCTGGTGCAAAGGTTGGAATTGACCTAGCCATGGTGGGAGATTTGTAACCAGGTTGCCCTTTTTATTTTTGTATATATTTTATTTTTCTTATCTCACCCTATCATGTAAAAAGTTTTTGTATCATCTTGTCTCGGTATCGTATTATGTAGAAAAGTTTTTGTACCATATACTATTATGGATGGTAGTGCATAGTTTTAGACACCATAAGAAAGCATCCAGCATAGTCTTCTACCCAAGCAAGCATCTACTGCAGGCTTTCTTTCTGCAAACCTAATGTCAATCAATACAGTCTGGCTTGCAAAACCAGACTAATACTAAGATGTAACAAATGACAACTAAATGCTTAAAATTCCAAAAGTAACAATCACAATGAAGATGATGTTGCCCTTTTTTTGCTTTTTCAACAAATGCTAATACTTGTCTGCAAATGTATCTGCTTTTTGTATGGCTTGTCTTTATACATGAACCTATTTTTAACTGAATACCCTCCCATGAGGAATCAAACTATTTATCATCGCCACTGTTATCAATGGCGGAGAGCCGAAATTCCACAATATAGCCAAACATATGGCGCCGCCATTCTTCCCATATTTGGTCATGATGGAGGACCGAAATTCCGCCACCAATATCGACCATGGCGCCACCATGGACGATATTTGACAATGCTGATCATTGCAAAGATATTTAAAATTAAGTCTACATCACATGATAATAATGCTCTAAGAATGTGTTTTCAAGCATAAAGTTGGTCATTGTTATGCATCATATAGAGGTAAAATGGGCATACGAGCAACCTTAATCAAAGCTATGGTTAATGATCTGCATCACTACCCAAACGCAAAAGTTATGCCTAACCATAGGAATAAACAGAAATTCATATCTTCTGGATGCAATTCTAACTACCAAACAGTGGGTTTTCCTAGCTACTCGAGTCAAATCAATCCTTTGATCAAGCTTGATATCAATTTGAAAGCAGAAATGGTAAGTACAGAAATTATATGCCCCGAGCCCATGTAACATAAAGGAAATTTGATTGCTGAGTCCACCAATATATTAACCATTGAAGCTATTAAGTAATAAGAGCATGAATAACAAAAGGCCAATAAGTAAAATTTACAGAAATGTCAGAAACCTAAAGTAAAGGCATACATGCATACCAGCTTGCCGCTTTCAGAAAACCATTTACTGAACAAAGAATGTGCATTCACTTCAACAAGCTGGGCCTGTGTGTATCTGAGTGGGAAAGATACTAGGTAAATATTTACTCCATTCATTTACTTGCTTTCATTGTTAAATATGATTAAGAGTACTAATAATAGATCAAAGCACCTTGAATTGAATCGAATTGATAGCTTCTGAGCTAATGCTTTACATAAAGATGTCTTTCCAGTTCCAGGGGGTCCATGCAAAAGAATTATGCTGCAAATAATTACACATCCTTAAAATATCAAGATATGTTCATTGTTCAATCACCTAACTCATGTTTGACTATGAAATTATCAATTATAATATAAATGCATAATATTTGTACAGAGACGATATTTTTCAGTAACATAAATAATCACATCAGTAAATTGTGATCGCAACATTTAAGGCCAATGCTAAATTAAATAAATATCTCTAGTGCTTACCGGTTCCATGAAACAAGGAAAGGATCAACAGCCTTTTCCGTGAAAAGCAAAGCACTCGCTGCATACCGCAACAACCTTTGCTTTAGACCAGATTCATATATTAGGCTGCAAAAGCGATGGTAAATAGTGCAGGGTAAATTAATTTTATTTCTATAAAGAAAACTATAGTTGAGGGAAAGGCATGAAATATAAGGAAATAAGAACCTTTCCCACATGCCGTCGAATTCTTTTGCAGGAAGAATCCATTCATTGAAGCTAGAAGACTGGCCATCAGAGCTGATATCCTCACACGGCCCTTCCTCGCTAAGCTGACAAAGCAAAATGCAGACAATATTCACTAAACTCTGAGCCAAATTAACAGAACAAAGAGATTCTACTCTAGACTAAAGCAAAATGAGATTGAAGGAGTTTGATGTTGATGCACAATGAAATATCGCATGTTACAGCATTAACATGTTGCAATATCATGTTAGCTTTTTCCCCTTTGTTTACTGTTAAGATAAGCAATTCAAATCATCTAATTGAACTTTTACTTTATGCATATTTCTGTTATATCTGCTTTATTATTTTCTCTTTTCAGTTAGAAAGCATCATAAAGCATGTGTGTCAGCATTTTCTATCAAGATGTGGTTAGGAATTCTGCTTAGGTGTTATTATGATGGGGGAAGCTTGTTATTGGTTATCTTTCCCAAGAGAGTGTATATCCAAAGGTGCTATATAAGCTGGCAGATGAATCAATTGAAGCTTATCACCATTTTAACAAAATACATTCCTCCTCTCAATTCTCTGTTATAAAGTCAGGACTAAGTAAGCAGTATCACCTGAAAGACATGTACAACCGGCTTGACTTGCCAGAACAAAAGAACATTATCATTTTGCATTCCTTCACCTACATAAAAATAGTTACCAACATCAGACTCAAAGAAGCAGCAAATAACTGATCTTTGTCTATGTCTACGTGTCTAGGAATTTCTTTTCAGTTAGTCTTGTACAGACACAGAGTAGTCATTTACGGATAGCGGCGCTGGGCAGGCAACCCCAAAAGTGGGATAGTGGGATGGCGTATAGCAGGATAACCGCCTTATTTGATCATTTTTTGGATAAATTACAGATAAAGTTATAAATACATATTTAATGTAAATTAAACAAATAACTTGCCTCATAAGATTTTCATAAATCAAAGCACACATGACTATTGAAGTGCATAAACGACTAAGAAGGAGTGTTGAGGTTGAGTCTCTGCTCAAATTAGACTGAAAAACCGAAAATTATCCTTAAAACATTGTAGCGAGCCAAAATCCTTAAGGGGTAATGATGGTTTTTTAGCAATGTTGTCGGTGGTGGAGAGCCAAAATCCCGCTATAGTGGTCGCTTTGTGGCGCCGTTATAGCGGATTATGCCAGAAAAACCAGCAATATCGGCTGATATTTACCATTGCAGCGAGCCCAAAAACCGCCATATATCTGCCATAGCAGCCATGGTGCCGCTATTTGATAACCCTGTATTTTAGAGGGGGGAAAATAGTGGCCAGAAACCGCTCCAGACCGGGAACTGCTCTGCTCTGCTATCCCGCTATTTACCCTATAGTGGCCACTATAGTGTTTTGCACTGCTAAGGCTCTTCCCATAGAGGTCGGCCTCCACTCCGCTCCACTATAATGAGATAGTGCATAGTGCCACTGTTGACTACTCTGGTATTGTATTTTATTTTTCAACACATATATTCCAATTTTAACATGCTAATTGCCAAATCACTTGATTCAACTAGTACGAAACAGTGGTAATGGAATCTTAGATTGGTAAAAACAAAATGATTACTTTAAAAATCAAATCAATAAGTTCTATATCTTGCCACTCCATGATAGCAACAAAAAAAAACTACAGTTTACCACCATAAGTGCAATTGAAAATAAACAAATGAATATCATATAGACCTGCATCACAAATGCAAATTCTTTGCACATTATCAGCAAGAAAGGGCTCATCAAGGGGAACGGGAATTGGTCCGCCATTATAGCTCAAACTCCTCTTTTCAAGCATCCTGAAAATCAGTGAAATAGTCAAGTGAATAAGTCCAATACAGAAGCCTACTGAGTCAAAGTTAGTTCAGTTTCAGTCCCCAATTACCCTCACGTGAAACTAAAACCCTGCAAATAAAATTGAAAAAGTAATTCTCGGTGTACTAAGGATATATTTGAATAAACAGCTTATTTGCAGCTTATAGCATAAGTGCTTATTTGATAAGCACTTATGAATAAGCTTTTATAACAAAAGATAAAATAAACTTAAATGGATTTTTTAAATGCTATAAGTTATTTTCATAAGCTGTTTTGAAGAACTTATAAAAATAGATCATTCCAAACATGCCCTAAAACTCCTGAATCAGGGGACAATAGAATAGGAGTGAAATTGGAGTTAATAGAAGAAGGAAAGGAGATTATTACCCCTCAATGGCTGAACGGACATCGTGAATGGAAGCTGTACTGGAAGGTTTTAAGCAAACCTCGACTATAATAAGCAAAATCAAATGAAAGTGAAATGAGAAACGAAAATGTATAGACTAGATGTGTGTAAGTGCGAGAGAGAAAGAGAGAGCGAGAGAGAGTACTAGGCACAAGAAATTTGTCGTCCGGTGGCAGAGGAGGTGGAGGTGAGTGTTGGGAAGCGGCGCCGTTTTGATCGGTTGGAGGGTTTTGCTCCGTCTCCATGGGAGAACTCATTTTGTTGGTAGCGAATTGCAACTGGGTGGATCTCGGGGAAGAAACAGGGTGAGGAAGAAGAAAATGGAAGCAGGGTTTTCGTTTAATTTCGGCGGGAATTCAAAATCCCAACCCAACACAACACCGATGCTTTCTACTGCTAGACAAGTCTTTTTTTTTTTTTTCTTGGGCGGTAGCTTTGAATTTAGTGAAATAATAATGGTGCCATGATTTTAAGTCTGAAGTAGATTTTGTTAAATTTAGGAGAATTTATTTAGCTTTTCTTTAAATGATTTTATAGTGTTAGGTTAAAAATAAATTACAAATAATTTTCTTAAGTGTTTCGCTATTATATTAAAATTTCAAAAAATCAATTATTTTAAAAAATTATTCTAAAAATATAATATTTTTAAAAATTATAATTTTAAATATATTTTAATCTCTAATAATATATGTTTATGTTATAAAATATCAAAATTAATTTTTAAATTTGTAAAAACCGAACTTAAAAAAGACTTTCAATATTTTAAAAAACATTTTCATAAAAATGAACTTTTTAAAATTTAAAAAAAAAAAAAAACTATTTTTATAGGTAAAACAAACTATTCTTATATGTTTAATTAATGGTCAATATAAACATGCAGGCTTTCCTAGTTGTGTTTGTAAAATTGTATTCTCTTTAGTTTGAACATAAGCCTGAGAAAAAATGGTTGTCCTCTTAAACCTAAAACTTAAGAGTTAATTTATTAACGGAGACTTAGTCTTGAGAGTATGTTATTTTCAATATCTCAAGTTCAAATCATATCAAGTATAATCAACTCTTATAATATATATATATATATATATATATATATATATATATATATATATATATATATATATATATATATATATATATATATATATATATATATATATATATATATATATATATATATATATATATATATATATATATCAATTGTACACCAATCAAATAACATGAGTGTATTTTTTAATCTCTTTATGAAGGAATATAGGAATCCAAAAAAATTGGTGTGCATGAGGCACATGTTATTATGAAGAAGATATGAGATGTCTAACCATCATTTCAAACAATCTCTTAGGCATTAAATAATGTAACTATGTCATAATTGATAATAACATTTTTGAAGATTAAGAATAATGTAACTATGTAACTATGTCATAATTGAGATGTCTAACCATCATTTCAAACAATCTCTTAGGCATTAAATAATCTCACGTTCATTTATTTGGAACATTAACTTCTAAAGCAGAATTAACTAATAAGTTAATGTAATCCCTAACATTATCTTCCTCCACACAAAAAAGTGTGGACACCACCTCCAACCACCATCGTCAAGCCTCACCTTCATATGTTGATCTCAATCACTGAAATATTATTCTCTACAGGTAACTCAATAAGTCTACTAATTTGTCACAAAGTGGGCCTCGTGGGAGCCATTTATCTTTCCATGTCAATGTATTTCCATGTCTTCAACCACACTCGTAATATTATATTTAAATAATCCGCTACAATTTAAAACATCCTCCTTCTCTAACACTAAGCAAATTTTCCACCACTCTGATAAAGGTGCGAAAAACACAAGAATGAAGATTCAATTGTGTTAGCTTTTCTCCTCTAAGATTTTTCTTCTTCTACTTCTGATTGATCTTAATCTGATTTTGAACACTTAGTTCAGAGTCTGAATCAGGATCACTAGGTTAACTTTTAAAAGTCCTTATCAGATTTTGAACCACAAGTGACTCATAGTTGCAAAGTTGACAGCAGCGGAATGATAAGATCAGAAAGCAGAAAAGTAAAAGAAAAGACACGCCGCAGTTATCCTGTTTCCTCTCACAACTTGAGAGTAGTTCAATCTCCTTGTACTTCCAAGAGATTTCAACTATAACCAACAAGATTAAATATGCTCAAGCACCAAGCAAGAGACTTTTATGCTAAAGCACACAAGCAAAAGACTTAAAGTGCTCAAACCCTCGAGTAAGACACTTTTATGCTCAAACACACAAGAAAGAGACTTAAAATGCTCAAACCCTCAAGTAAGATACTTTTATGCTCAAACACACTAGCAAAAGGCTTCAAATTCTTAAGCACTAAAGCAAGAGACTTCTGACTCTATGACAAATTGCTAAGAGCTTTTGGATAAAACTATACTTTATATGCAATCAGAGGTGTAGATAGAATACAACTTGTTAAGACTCGTAAGACTTTAAGAACTTCTAAAATATAAGCAATTGATAAGATGTTCTAAGTCTACCTAATTTGAAAGAGTAATTTCTCTTTGAAATGACAAGGATTAAAGTCTTGTATTGCAGTGTATTGGTCTTCATTTTTAAGTCTTTCTGCTTCTTAAATAGAGAGAAGGAAAAGAGACGTTGGAAGATTTTCACCAAAAAGTTGGATAAGCTTTATACTTGATTGGAGATGTCAAGAAAACTCCTTTTTGCAAGCGGAATTATTTGTTGAAGCTCAGAGAACTATGAAGAGATTTTTCCTTAAGTCTTCACGTGAAAAAATGATCTTTGAGTCTGTCGGAGTTTCCTCGACTAAAGAGATTAGACAGCCTTCATAGGTTGACTTTCTTCATACTTCACTCTTTAGAGGCTGATCTCTTTAGAGTCTGCTTTTTGGCTTCTGATGCTTTAGAGTTTGGATCACCAGAGGCTGACTTTCTTCAGATATTTCTTCAGAGTTTGGATCTTCCATCAGAGTTAGAGTCTTCAGAAGTGATCTTCAGAGTCATTGTATGAACTTCATATTCAAAATCTCCAAGTTTCTCTTCATTTGTTCTTAGTATTATAATCCTGCAAACTTGAACAGATGTTAGAATACCCAATTATTATTTAAATATTTTATTATCATCAAAATCCAAGGGATATGATATCAAACAATTTTGTTCCAACAATCTACCCCTTTCGAAGATGACAAACATAAGTTTTTAAGAACAATGGTTGTTGATTTAATTAACATGTTGACTTTAGAGTGTGAGGTTTGTTAGCTCTCCCTGAGTATGATAGTGCAGATGATGAGGTTTGTAAGCTCCCCATAAATCCTATACAGGTTAACTAAAATCCTTTTAAGCATAATATCATTAATCTTCAAAAATTAATTAAGCAACGGTAAGAATATCCATCAGATTCAGGTGCTTAGGTGTGCTTAAAATACCCATTATCTTTCTCCCCCTTTTGTCATCAACAAAAAGTAATATCAGAGAAAGAAAATATTATGAAGAAAAACAAATTTATGAAAAATAATCAAGTCTGAGTAAAAAGAAATAATAATCAGGATTTGTTCTCCCCTTTTGTCATAAGTTTAAAAAATGTGCAAGCAAGAAAAATGTGATGTTAATAAATGACATGAATGGTTGGATAACATTTTTCAAAACACGAGATATTCCAACCCGTTATGAGCCTATGAGACATAGCAGTCAAACCTTGGAAAGGGAGTCTGAAGACCAATAATGCATCTCTCTCTTGATTCTATTGGCACACATTGCACCAGTTAGATTTTGCTTTTTCCCATTCTTCATATAAAACCTAATTTAGAACATGCAATAATACATTCATCTTTCTTTCATTAAACTTCTCTCTTAATCAGAATGAGAAAATCAACTGAAAACACCAAGAGTGGTTTCTTAGAAGAATTTAAGACGGCTTTGAAGGTTCAGAAAGATGATTGAATCAACTCTTCTAAAGGTGTTGGAACTTCTGCTATAGCAACTAGGGTTGGAAGAACATCAGAGACAAAGATGAAGAACCCCAAGAAGAGAGAGTCATTTGATGATGAGTGAGATGAGGACTACAAGATCTTCATCATGTCAGGAGGGTGGTTTGATCACTAAGTTTGAGTAGCCTCTTGTATTGCTCTTTTTAATTTTCAAAGACTTATAATCCTTTCTTATTTAATAAAAAAAAAAAAAGAAGATATTTTCCCACAACTTTGTTTGAATCTATTTTCAACCATCAAATTCATGTGTGTGTAGTAAATTAAAAAAATGCACAAACTTACATTAATTTATGTTCAAGGAGATTGTTAAAACATGATTTTATTATACCAGACACAATATCCCAAAATTGGTATAGCTCAGAGTTGGAGCAAATAAGCAAAAACTGAAAGCTTAATAGGTATAAGACCAAGTCAACGGCTTTTTTAGATTTGTGACACATAAGTGGACAACATAAAAAAAAAATATAATTTCAACAGAAAAACCACTTATATGCCATCAGAAACATTTAACCAAATTCTGAGCATTAGAGGTTGAGATGCTTCAGAGGTTACTACGCATTAGAAGATGTTCAGAGCTTCTGATCATCATTAGACTTTGATCCTTCATTCATAAGCAAGCATTAATCTTTCACAAAATGCATATTAATATTTTTTTAATGAAATCAAATATTTCTATTGTTAGAGACTTCATAAATATATCAGTTCATTGATGATCTGTATTAATGAATTGTATATCTATTACACCTTTCTGAACATAATCTCTAATAAAATGATGTTTTATTTTTATGTGCTTGATTTTAAAATGTTGAACTGGATTTTTTTAAGCAGATGACAGCAGTATTATAACAGAAGACGGGAATACTGCTTCCACTAATCTGATAGCCTTTCAACTAATATTTCATCTAGAGGAGTTGTGTGCAACATTTAGCAGCTGAGATGTATTTTGCTTCTGATGTGGACAAAGCAATAGTTACCTGTCTTTTACTAGCCAAAGATATTAGGGTATCACTTATGAATTGATAGTTTCTACTAGTGGATTTGCTTTCAATTTTATCCCTAGCATAGTCAGCATCACTTAATCCAACTAGCTTATAATCTTTGGATTTTTTTTTTATAAAGCAACACTAGATTAGGTGTTCCCTTCAGGTACCTAAAGATCCTCTTAGCAGCAGTTAAGTGAGTCTCCTTAGAATCTGACTAGAATCTTGTGGGTCAAGGCAGAGCCTCTCAAACATATCTCAGTAGAGAATATCGAAGGAACTACCTTAGTATA